TCCTGCTCCCGTTGGCCTCCACAGCACTCATCCCCTGAAGTCCGATTCGCGTTGGTTTTTGGGTGGCCGGACTGAGGAGGCGAGAGTGCAATGAAGAGGTCTTTGGTTGTTGTGGGTGTCGTTCTTGTTCCTGACACCGATCCTTTAACAGATACATATGGGATATGTTTGGTAGTTGTAGCCAGAGATGTGGCCACGTAGGTACATTTGAAATACCATTTGAAGAGTCTATTGGATTTTAAATCCTTATGCAACCACGGGTGCCATTAAGAAATTAAACTGGCAGATATTACAGCTAGTTACCGTTTGTATGGAGAAAAGGCACAACCCAGCTGTTCTGTGCTGGCTCTGCACTTTATAAATACGCTTTTCTTAGACCGGGACAATTTCTTGCTGAAGACAAAGAATAGTGGTGCTGGGCAAGGGGATCAACAGCACAGGCGCTTCGGTGCTAGTTTTATTAGCGCAGGGTGCGTGCACGTACCGGGAACAGGAGTGATGTTTGCCAAATAGAAAAGGGTCAAATCCCTGGGGCAAGATGTTTCCAAGAGGATATTGCAAATAATAGGGCATTTAAAAATAAAGCTAAGACTGTAAGAGCAGGACTTTTTAAATGTCTAAATGGTTTAGATTGGGCAGTTTTTTAAAGATAAATGAGTGTAGGGGCCAGATGGCCTTGTGGGTTGGCAAACAGGGCAGCATGTTTGCTACATGCAGGACTTGAATGAAGGAGCAAATCTAGGATTTCCAAGCAGATGGAGCTGAGGGAGTCAGCAAAGCTGTTCCTGTTGGCAAGAAGTGGGGGAGTGTGTAGCTTTTCCCAGGTGGCCCACGGACAACTATTGAAGTACGAGGAGAGGCCAAACATTCTGCCTTCACGCTCGTGCGCTGCAGGGAGGGGGTAGTAGAGGCACACTTGGTTGTAGAGTGGGCATGGCTTGCCAGTCCTCGCTCTCTACCTTCAGGCTCCGCAAAATCCACTGCCAATAAGTAAAACTCTCCCGCAGATCTGTGCTTCTGATGAGATCCGAGGAGGGGACCTGAGCAGCCTGGGTTCCCAGCCCAGCCTGAATGAGATTTTTGAAAATTACGTTCAATTTTAATTTTTTTTAACGTTTGACTGATCTTTGTTAGCAACATGGGGAAGGAAATGCCTTGATGGTTTGGTTTGGTTTGGTTTTTTCATCAGTGTCCCCTTAAGATAATAGATGGTGAGAGGAGCAAGGTGAGAGAAGGCCTTGAGAAACAGAGTTCCTGCCGAGCGTCAAGTGAACGCGAGGAGTTACTGTGCATTCCCTTCCTGCATCTTTTACCTTCCTAGTTGAATTTCATCTGTTTGTCGGCATGCTCCTTCTGGGTGCATGCTGCATGCTACGCCAGGGGTAACGTAAGCACGCACTGACCTGCCACCGGTGGGGTCAGAAGGCTCAAAGGTTACTCTCCCTGTTGCTTTCAATCCTGATACTTTAAAGCAGTTTGGGGACGTGAAGTCTGAAAAAAAAATATTGTTAATTCAGGTGGAACGGCGGTCTGACTCTGCCTCCCCCTGTTGCTAACCTCTGTTTTGGCAGGTCATTTCCGGGGGTGTACGTTTCCATAGGTGATCCTTTTAACTGGTTAAAATTGTATTTGAAGGAAAGAGTTGCGTGGGATAGTCTGTCCGTAGCAGTCAGGTTTATGATGATGATTATTATTAAAATCAAAATCCCCCCAGTCTTCATAGTGCACACAGAATTGGGCCTGGCTGGGTTACGTTGACCCTGGGCAGGTGGTTTCTACATGCCTTTTTCTTCTGATAACTTTGTGTCTCCTTTAGACCCCTTTTCAGTCGTCTGGATTGGATACGAGTAGAACGACTCGGCATCATGGTCTGGTGGACAGAGTGTACCGTGACAGAAACCGCCTTGGGTCACCACACCGGCGCCCGCTGTCTGTGGACAAACACGGGCGGCAGATATCCTTTGGTTTATGCCTTTGTCAGCATCAATAATATGTCATGCAAGCCTGTTTTTACAGTGAGCTTTGAAAAGAACAACCCCCCACGTTGTAGAGAAAGGCGTACATGAGTTAATTTTGGTTTTGCCACTGATTCACAGTGTGACTGTGACATAAACACTTCCACACAGGATCACACGAGAAGTCCAGTCCGCTCTCACAGTCGACTGTCTTACAGGAACAAGCTACAGATCCAGTATAGGACAGCTGCAGAATAACTTGCTTGGTGGGGAAGTTGTTTCCTAACCACAGGAAGGTAATACCATTTTCCTTTCAAAGCTGTTTTCCAAGCTAATATAGTTGGATTGTGTCATTAGCCCTATACATGCTTAATCTTTCACAAATCCTCCTCTTGCCTCCACCGCGTCTCAGTTTCTGTAGCTGTAAACTGGGACAATAGGACTTTGTAACCGGGATCAGCAACTTACAGCCCGTGGGCTAAATCAGAATCTCTTTGCGGGCCTGTGTGGCCCGCCGAGCTGAGCCAGCTGGGGGAAGTTTGTTGAGACATTTAGTTATTGAGATGCTCTGAAGAGTATGAAAGAAGTGCAGAATGGGAGCACTGGTAAGACTGAATCTTCCAGAACTGAAGAGGACCAGGACTGAAGGATTCATTGGATCTAATCACTATTTTTTTTTATTGGAAGCTGACTCATATCTGGTTAGCATCTGATAAACATCCTGCCAGCCGTAAGACTTAATTAGCTTACTGCTTAAAAGGTTGGCCAGCTTTTAAAATGTGACAATACCAGACTGGCTTGATAGGGCTAAAGGAGACGAGGGAGTGGGGGAGCACGGAGGGACAGCTCCCCATCAAGAGGGCAGAGGCAGGCCTCTCGGCTACTGGAAATGCAGCTCAAGGCTGCTGCTGGCTCTCTGGTTAAGAGGGCCCTTGGTTTTTTTCAGTGAGCTGGTTCCCATCAGGCGAAAGCTATAATACGACTCGTAGGCAAGAAGGGAATAGATATTACTGTTCATGTGGCAAAGGGAGAGGTGTGTAGGCGGAATAAAGTCAGAAGATGTAAATTGCATTAAATTAAGAGGACCTGCTTACCAAGGCTGCATATTTCATGTCCTGTATAGGAATCTCCTGTCAACCCATGTGTAGGACGGGGAGCAGGGGGAGTACTTGGTGCAACGTGCTTTCAGCCCAAGGCAGCAAGGTGCCAAGCAAAGGAAAGTGTGACCGCATGGGAGGAAGTTGAGAATCGACTGCAAAAGTGGGGAGAGAGTACTACTACATTTGGGTTGTGCCATACATGTAAAGCGGTTCTGCTTCTGTGCTGTCTGGCTTGAACTTTTAAATAGGAATCTCCAGTGAAGCCACCATTCACGTGCATATTATGTTTCACATGTCATCCTGAACGTGGCATGTCCTCGACAAGAAATGCTCTTCACTTGTCTCAGTTGAGAGCATATTGGCTTTAACAAGGTAACTTAAATTATTACTTGGTAAAATAAAAAAAAGGTTTCAAATAGGTCTGTTTTTTAAACAAGTTCCTAGTTTTCTGCCCTTAACTAATTGAATCACGTGGACAGTTGTCCGTATGGAACAGTGTATCTGTCCCCTCCGTCAGATACAAGCTGGAGAAGGTCAGTGGCATCGTTTTATCTGTATTAGTATTGGGCCAGGGTTTGGATGCGATGTTGGTCTCTTGATGTGGAAGAAATATGCCTTTATTTTTTCCCCATAGTAATTGGCAGCTCTCAGTAGTCTGGATTACCATGATTTGTATTGACTCCGGGTCTTTGTTTTTAGCAACTGTATGGATTTTTTAGATGCTATTCAAAAGGCAACAAAGCAAAAACCTTAAGGTGGATCAGGTCTTTGACTGAAAAGCTTGCCAGGCTTCTGTCTATGGAGGGGTAAGATGCTCCTCGCTTTTAGTTAGAGAGTCTGAGACTTTTCCTACCACGTTAGAAGCAGGATTAGTCTCCTATCACAAGCAGTGAGAGTCGCCTCTTCCCACTCCTCGTGTTCCTGCTCCTGCCCCTCGAGTATTCATTGCTCACCTGTCTGAGGAGGCTGCATCGTGCAGAAGTGAGTGGTATGGTTTAGGCATCGGACTGGCTCCTGGGTCCCCTGCAGTTTAATCTGGGCCATAAAACAGACTCTTTTTGTTTTCCTGGGCAAGCTGGTGTCCTTCGCCACGAAATGGGGCAGTGGCTTCTTCATAGACAAGCCCTGAAATAACATACGTAATGTTGATAAATTGTTCTAAACTAGGAAAGTAATGCTTATTATTAAAGCAGTACCTTCCAAATGGCTTTCAAACCGTAGCAATTAATTTGTCTTTGCTTCCTGTTAAACTCCTTCCACTGAAACACTTATTTTAAACCTGCAATAAATGGTGCTCTGTGCAGTTATTTGATTACTTCATTAGAAATTTTTGCCCAGCATCATCTCGGCATAATATTTCACAGTAGCAAAGCGCAGGTTTTCTGAATCGGGTGACATTCCCCTGTGACTCAGAGCATTGTTCATTAGAAAAGGTAACGGATTTCTTTCTTTTGTACAGGACCAATTCTGATTCTGCCTTGCATCAGAGTACGATGACACCAGCTCAACAAGAGTCCTTTTCAGGAGGGTCACAGGACATGCAGCAAAAAAGAGGTAAATGGGTGGAAAAAATGCAAGAGGCTTGCAGCAGATTTGAATATTTTTCATGTGTGGTGGGAGTCGAGTAATTACCAGTGCTCCTGGTGCTGGTAGAAGTGCCTCCCCAACGGCTTTTAGACTGAACCCAGTAAAAGGCGTAATAGGGTTGGTGCTAAAAGAGGCTTCCCATAGCCGCTGTTCGCAGGGAATTGTACTCCGGAGAGTTTTAACCAGGATGCAATACCTCGGGGTACCATTAGCTCGGCTGAGGAAAATTGCTGTAATTGAGAAGATTTCTTGTGGGTATTGAATTGAATTTGTAGTTCTTGATTATTGGTATATGGCAGACTTTTCAGATTGGGTAGTCCCCCAAAGTATTAAGCAAGTGGCAAAAAAATCAAATCAAATTAATTCTGCGTTTAACACGTTAAAATCATACACATTTTCTTTTCAGTCAATTAATCTAGGCATTTTTTTAAAAAACCGGCCGCTCTCCTTCCCAAAACACAAAACATCCAACTTTCGTTTTGAGAAGTATGACATGATTGTAAACGCTGGTAAATGTGCAGGTTCTTAACTCCAAATGCTGCTTATTTTGCAAGTCTAAATCTTTCCATGGCCGGGCGTTGAGGAGCACAGGAAAAGTGCAGTTAGCATGGCTTTTTGTTAAGTGTTGAGGGGTGGCTTGGAAACTGCGTTTTCCACTCAAGACAATCAGTTGTCAGCTACCTGCGCGCATGTTGTCGAGCAGCAGCTGTAAGGTATACAGGAGCA